AGACAACTGTCCTGCTGTGAAAGAAGCCTGGCCCACTGCAGAGAACGCTGCTGGCCCTCGCTGACCTCACCAAGAGCTCCCATGGCAGGCTGAGCCCACGGCTTCCCTGTGAATCATCAGCCAGCTCTGGGGGCTGGGAATGCCTCTGCATGGACAGAGAGGCCCCCGGGCCAGAGCAGACCTGTCCATCTGGTCTGGCTGCCTCTGGAAGCTTCAAAGGGCTCAGTACTCACCGTTGAGCATCTCAAATAACCTCCCTGCAGGGATCCTTTCTCCAGGCCTCCCTCTCTTGGTGTCCTTATTAGGTATATGTGTCATCCTGTGTGCTTTTACTGCCCATCCTCTTGAAAAGAAAATCTCTTACCCCTTTCCAAAATACTTCTAAGCTTCCCCAAAGACTTCTCTGGGTGAACCAAAGCTGAGGTGCTGCCAGTTCCCACCACAGGCCAGTGGCAGGAGAGGCACGTGGGTCCCAGGGAACACCTCAGCCCCTGCACCACGCTGGCCCCCACATCCCCAGGGCCTGGGGGACAAGGGACCCTGCACACTCCCCTGCTGCCAGGTAGAGGACACCGAGCAAGAGGGGACTGACTCTTACTGAAGCTTAGCCAAAAACCACGAGTCTGAAGCAAAAAGCAGAAGCTCAACATCCTGTTGCCCATGGCTGCCGTGAGCAGAGCACAGCCCACTTCCCCGCTCCAAAGAGGCAGAGCTGATTTCTGCAGATGAATTTTACATCAGATCCTCAGCGTGAGCCGCGCTGCAGCACCACGCTGCAGCCTGACCTCATCCTCCCGCTGCTCCCGCTTCCCCTTCCCACCTCCCCCTGAACCCAGGGAGCAGCAGCGGTCGTGAGCAGCTGAGGAGCTCTGCAGGGACCTCACAGAGGAACGAGAAAATGCAGCAGGAGCAGCAGCAGCAGCACTGGCACGGCAGCAAGGACGAGGCACCTCCGCTGCAGAGGGAAGGAGCTGTGTGCGACGGGCTGACTCCTACAGCTCCTGCTGGATGAGGGAACTGGGGCACACGAGAGCAGGAAATCATCAAAACCTGTCCTTGTGCAGGCTGTGCACACACAGGGCATCCAGCGAGGATCCCCCATCCCACCCAGCGCCCGGGGAAGGAGCCAGCAGGAACAGGATCAGCAGGATGGAGCCACGCTGCCTGCAGAGCTCCTGACTCGCAGGGCCCTGGGGCAGGAAGATACCAGAGCAGTGCAGGGGCAGAGCCTGCTTCCACCTGCTGCAACCGAGGAGCAATTAAGAAAATGCCTCGAGTGGCATTTTCCAGCTTGGCACCTGACCTAGCCTGGCAGCAGCACTGGCTGCAAATCACCACCGAGGAGATAACCTGACTTTGTCAGTCACACCGGAGGCTCTGCCTGCCAAACGCTGCTTGGCACAGTCAGCAAACACATCTCTGCAGAGCAGGGAGGGTGCTGACCTGTTTAAAAACACCTGCCAGCAGTTTCCATCCTGGCACAGAGATGCAGCCCACACAGGCAGCAGCTGCACGGGCTGTCCTTGGCACGGCTGTCCCCTCCCTCTCTGCTGTCACAGGACTCTCTGTGCCAAGCCCTGCACACACACACGGCTCAGGGACAGGGATGTGCAGCCCACGGATGTCTCTGGCTGTGCTGAACTGCCTAAAACCCCACCCAGGGTTCTCACACTGCCTGCACTTCCCAGGAGGGGAATGCAGCGGCCCCTGCTGCACAGAGGACAGGTGGAGCCCCAAATATTTTGGAACTTGAAGAGTCCTGTCATCACAAAAGCTGCAAAAAGAGGCAAAACCTTGCTTAAGCTTTTCATGTTTATCCTTGCAGGAAGCCAGCTGCATCCAGGGATAACAGCTCTCATCCAGATGGGCCTTCCCTTCACACTGGGGATGAACTTCCTCCTGGCAGCCTGGCAGCAGAGCCTCTGCCTGACCCCAAAAACACAGCGTGCACGACTCCTCTCAGTGTCCCCGCACCTCGGTTCCCAGGAAGGGAATAACGCTGAGGAACAGGAATCAGGAATCTCACAGCCACACCTGTGGCGTTTGGAGCTGCAGTGCCCCAGGCCAGAGGAAGGCGTGCACCTGGAATTTCCCTTCTCAGCCCTTTCATTAGACAGGAGAACACCTATTTCTGGCTTCGAAGCTTTTCTGGGCATGGCACAGCAGCCAGTACTGACATTTCTAGCTCAGAAACAGATCTTTTGTGGGGTTTCATTTCTCCTCTCCACTCCTGCCTCTCTGCTCCTCTGCAGTGGGGCCTTTCACTCCCCTGCCAGGACCAGGATGGGACACAAGGAGAGCAGGGGAAGGTGGCAACAAACCCAGAGATCATCACGCAGAAAAACCACGAATCCATATTTCACTGCTGTGTAAATCCCCCCTCACAGCTTGTAATAAGCACCTTATCCACACAGCATTTATCTCCTGCAGGAGAGGAGGTCCAAGGTGTTTCAGGAGCATTTTTCTGTTGCTGCATTTTATTCCGACCTATTCTATTGATCAGGGATCAGCATCCCCTGCGTGCGGCAGCATCCGGAGCATCCCGGGCGTTCCCCAGGTACGGGAGCATCCCGGAGCATCCCGGCGTACCCCCCAGGTGTGACAGCCCCCCGGAGGATGTCCCGGGCGCGGCGGCAGCCCCGGGAGCCCGGCGGGCTCGGGCGGGCGCTGCTCTCGCTAGAGGGCTCCCCAGGATGGGTTTCCGAGCGCTGCCGAGCTCTCCGGCCCCGGAGCGCAGGGCTCCTTTTGCTCCTCCTGACCTGGGCAGAACCTCAGCCTGGACACCTCCGGGCACAGCCCGGACCCAGCAGAACCCTGGAATTCAAGGCAGACAGAACCAACCTGCTCCCATCTCGGGCTCTGCCATCTGCCCGAGAGCACGGCGGGAGCCGGAGTGTCACAGAGGAGCCCCGGTGTCACCCCCTGCGGCAGCGCTGCCGAGCTCCAAAGCCATGCCCAGCGTGGGACAGCGCTGCCGAGCAGTTCAGCTCCCCCGGGACCCTTCCCGGGCTGGGATGTGACAGTTCCCACCGCTACACATTCCATCAAAACAGCGCTACAGAAATAGAAATAAAGGACACAACTGTCACACACGAGCCTGGACACCAGCAGCCTGCCCCGGGCTCCAGCTGCCTTTCCTCACCAGACTGCCAGCAAATGGATAAATACAGACATTTGTGGCTGCACTGAAAAGGACCGATGGGATAATGAATGCTCTGCTATTCCTGCATTTTAAAAATGCCAAGCGCAGCTTAATCTCGCTGATGCACTCGTGTGGGTGCGAGCTCATTTCAAAAGGAACAGGCTCCAGCCCCATTTCCACACTGATGCCGGATGAACACAAGCAGCTGCCTTCATCATGCAGCTTATTGACTCCCCCTTCAGCTCCTTTGCTCCCTTTGCTAAAAATATCTGTGTTATGTGGCAGGAATGCTTTTATCAGGTGCTTGTCAGGCCCCAGATCCCTGAGTTTACTCCAGACTCCGTCATTTTGGGAAATGCAGGCAGCACCCTAACCCATAACCTGGGCGACCAGCAGGAATGGGGACAGCAAAGAGTGAGGACAACAGCCAGGACAGGGACCAGGAAGATGATAAAGGGCAGGAGGAACAAAACAAAGTTTGCTCAAGGTGGAGCAAGCAGGTGGGAAGGAGAAACAGCTGAGTCCAACGGGGCAGAAAGAAGCAGCTCCAGCCACGCAGGCAACACTGGGACGGCTTTCCCACCTGAAAACACCTCTAATGTCTAGGCAGGAGATGAGTGCAGGAAATAAAGGAAGGACCGAGCAGTTACAAGGGCAGAACGCACTTGTTTTCCTTGTCTGAGCCCACTGTTTGCAAACACACAGCCTTACAGGGACCCCGTTTAAAGAAAATATGTCTGTTCTCAACAATGTTTTGCTTGATATACAGATAAGATGTTTCCACTTTTCCTTTTGATCCCAGCAAGTGTCTCCCTTTCAGCTCCCAGTACCCAAGCAGCTCCCCCAGCCCAGTCGCGGGGGAGCCCCCCGGACCCTTCCCGCGGGGCAGAACCGCGACCCCAACGGGACCCGGGCGGATGCGGGGCTGGCACGGGGCGGGACTGTGGGAATATCGATCCACGGAATCGCTTGGGGTGGAAAAAGCCCTGGAAAAAGCCCAACACTAAATAACCCAGCACTGCCCAGACTGGCACTGCCCCGTGTGCCCAGGTGTCACATCTACAGGTGTGTTAAATCCCTCCAAAAGTGGTGAGTTCGCCACAGCCTGTGCCCGCGCTGGACAACTCTTTCCATGCAGAAATTCTCCCTGTTGCCCAAGGTGAAGCTGCTCATTTACCAGGTCTCAGCAGCCACCAGCACAGCCTCTCATACTGCACATTCAACGAGAAATTGGGGTCTGAGCCCCTTGTGCAGGGCATCTGATCTCTGCCAAGAAGCCCTGATAAAGTGCTGGTGTAATTTCTCCCCTGGGAACAGCCTCTTCCCAAATGCTGCCCTGCAGGGGAAGCCACAGAGCCAGCCCCGGTGTCGGGAGCAGCCAGACCCCTCCACGGGAGGAAGATTTAAGGTCGCACTTTAAAAGCTCAGAGGTGACCCTGCTGAGGAAATGTCCCGGTTGGAGTGCTGTTAATTAAAGTGCCTGAGAATGTATCCATTTCTGACAACATTTGAGGCTTTTTACTTTTGAGAAACTGAAAACTGGAATATTAATCATTTTTTTTTTTTCCTCCGTCAGGGTGTTCTGGCTGGAGCTGCAGTGTTTTTTGGCAAGAAAAGTGTCAATGCCCTTGAAAGCTCTCACCTTCCTAAAAAAAAGAAAAAAATAAAAATAAAAACACAAAAAAACCCAACCAAACTTTCCTTGGACGAAAAAATGTCCTGCCAGGCTCAACTGCTCTCCTGCCCAGCGTGCCCTCAGCCATGCACACCCATGGGGACCCCTCTGCGTGCAGGGGGGCTCCCACAACACCCTGACCACCCCAGAGCCCTGAGATGCCCCAGGAGGAGCGAGTGTTACCTGTGCTGCCGGCGAGCCAGGGGAGCAGTCGGGGGCTGCGATCGTCACCAGGTCGGTCACCAGGGCTGAGTCAGGTGACAGCCATGTGGGACGTGGCATGGGGCCCTGCCTGCTGCATGAGGCCAGATAATCCCTGGCAGTGCTGCAGGAACACCCTGCACCCCACTGAGCAGCCCGGGCACTGCTGGCACCTGCCTGCATCACTTGTGGCACCTGCATCACTGGTGCCACCTGCACCACTGGTGGCACCTGTCCTGGGGTGCTGCAGCCTCCTGGCACTGCACCACGGCCACGTGGGTGAAGGAAAAGCCATCAGGAAATGGCTCTGAGCGTGGCCCAGGACAGGTCTGCTCCAAATCCAGCCACAGCCTGGCAGCTTCTGTTGGGTCCTGCTGCAGCTCCTCTGCTTTCCCTGGGGAAACTGGCCAGAAGCCCCAGGCCCTGATGGGGTGTGGCAGCAAGTGAGGAAGGTGAGGAGATGACTTTTGGGTTCCCAGGCCCAAGATGCAGCCCTTGGAGCGGGTTTAGGACTGCTCTGCCATCCTGCATGGGTTGTAAAGGCCAAACACTGCCCGTTATGTGCCGTGTGTCACTGTGTGCCTCCTCCCCTTGCAGCCCAGGACACGCTGTGCTTCTCCTCATCCCTGCTGGGGGAACGGGCAGCAGTGAGCTCTGGGAGTGGACGTGCAGTCCCTGCTCTGCTCTGCTCATCCCTGCTCTGGGGGAACAGCCAGCAGTGAGCTCTGGGAGTGGATATGCAGTCCCTGCTCTGCTCATCCCTGCTCTGGGGGAACGGGCAGCAGTGAGCTCTGGGAGTGGACATGCAGTCCCTGCTCAGGGGGAACAGCCAGGAGTGAGCTCTGGGAGTGGATGTGCAGTCCCTGCCTCTGCTCAGGGGGAACAGCCAGGAGTGAGCTCTGGGAGTGGATGTGCAGTCCCTGCTCAGCATCCTCCTGTGGAGTCAGCGTGCCCAGGGGCCAGGCTCTGGCATGGGCAGAATTCCCAGGGCTTGGCCCTTCCATTCCTGTGCCTTTGGTTTCAAAGGAATTTCCTCCAGCCATTTCTGAGTGCTGCATTTGGAAATGCTGCCCTGCCCGGCTGGGCCAGGCTGGGACATCTCCATCTGTTGGACAGCAGCTGCCAGGACCTGCCTGCACTCCAGGCTGGGATGCTGCATCCAGGCTCCAGCAGCTCATCCCAGAAATGAAAAAATGCTTCCACCAGGCTTTGCTGAGCTGAGGACCGCTACCCAGCGGCAGGAATTCAGCATTTCCTGTCAAAGTGCCTCCCGTAGGAGCAGGGGTCTAAACTGGAGGGGTGAATCTGAGCAGGAGCCAAGGCTCCAGCACACACACATTAAAAAACAGCATTTAAAAATCTGGGAAGGGCCCACGGATGCCAAGTAAGCCAGGGACAGACGGCGGGGGACACGCCAGCACTGTGGCTCCACGCTCGGCGATTTCGGCCGCAGTCCCCACCCTCCTTGGCAGGGTCCCACCCTCCTTGGCAGGGTCCCACCCTGTGAGGAGTAAACACACACGGATTGCTGGGAAACTGCCGCCTTTCCGGGCAGACCCTGCAGGGAAAGTCAGGAGGGGGAAGGCACCAAAATTAAGTGACAATTATGTAGCACACCAGCAGAGAAAACCAGTTTCCAAATCCAAGAACCCTGAGGTGAACCCACATGGTGACGTCCTTCACCACACCCCCCAGAGCTCCCTCAACCTGACAAACTAGCAGAAAAAAAAACCTGATTAAGCTTTTCCGAGCCCCTCAGAACAACAGGAAGGATCAGTGTCACTGCCTGTGAGCCACATCCTCGGCCTTAGAGTCCCCCAGAGCTCCCTCAACCTGACAAACTAGCAGAAAAAAACCTGATTAAGCTTTTCCCAGCCCCTCAGAACAACAGGAAGGACCAGTGTCACCACCTATGAGCCACATCCTCGGCCTCAGAGCGGTGACAGGTGATGCTCAGACCCCCAGGAGTCCCAGAGCAGCCCCCAGCCCCACCTGGGGGTCTGGAGATGAGCAGAGGCTGGGCCAAGTGTCACAGCACCTTGAACAGCCACAAGCAGACAATGCCACAGCATCCTGCCCGGAGAGCTGCCACTGCAGGCAGGGCTGGGTGCCAGTCACACAGCAGCCAGCCAGATGTGCCCCAGCTGTGAGGTTCTGCTCTTTAGCAGCAGAACTCGGCTCAGGTGGGGCTGTGCAGCACCCCGAGGAGCGCTGGAGCTGGCCAGCAGGGTCACTGCGGTCTGCCAGGGGCAGCTGGTAATAATTATCCTCGTGCTAATTCCATGGAAATTTCCATGTGCCTGGGAAAAAGGCAGCCAAGCCCTTCTTGCTGCCCGGGGCAGAAGTTTGCAGAGGTTTCCAGGGTCTGTGACTGAGAGCCCGGTCTGTCACATGGATGGTGTTTGTTTAAATGCCTCCTTGGAGCCACCAGCTGCAAACCTGCCCGGAGCTGGCGGCACCAGGCTTCGAAGTGTACCTGGAGCAGCTCAGCCGTGCCCTCCGGTGCCGGCAGAGCAGCAGCACAGCTCCTCGGACAGGGAGAGCTGTGCCTGAGCCCTGCGAGCTGGCTCGGAGCTCTGGGGGCATCTCCCGTTGCCGAGGGTCCCGAGGGAGGGCAGGCGGCGAGAGCAGCGTGCCAGCACACATCATCCTCCCGTCTGGCTCCGGCAGCGCCTCCTTAGCAACCCAAAACAGAGCCACAACAGCGGCCTGGCGGCAGATCGCATCCCGGCCGGCTCCAGGGCTCCGCAGGAGAGCCCGGCGTGGCCACAGGGCCCGGCAGGTGCCGGTGCCCCGCTCTGCCCGGCAGAACGCCGTGAGATCAGCTCCCCGGAAGGCAGAGCAGCAGCTGGTGCTGCCCAGAGGTGTCCTCCAGGGTTTGCCGTGGCAGGGGGCTGGTGGAGCCGGGGGCAGCCCTGCACCCCGGGCAGCCCAGGAGCGCTCGGTCCCTGCTCTCCTCCTCCCTCCAGCCTGAGTAGGCGAGCTCTGGGTGAGTGTCCCAGCCCTCGGCTCCCTTCTCCTTCCTACCTTTGCAGCTGCAGGCTTGTCGCAAGCTCTGTCACTGTGTGCTACCTGTCCCGGGGCTCCTCGGAAAGCCGCTGGCGTAGCAGCTGCCTGGGAAGGAGCAGGGAGGAAGGAAGGGGATGGACGGGGTGGGGAGGGCCGGGCGGCGGGTGTCTCTGCGCCCTGTAGCCGGGGGGGAAGGAGGGAGGATGTTTTGTAATATTTGGCGAGCGCTCCCACGGGCAGAGCGAGGGAAGCGGGGGCGCACCGGCCGCCGCTCCGCCGGTACCGGCGCCTCGCGGGTGAACGCCTGCAGCTCATGCCGGCTCCTGCCGGGGCCCCACTGGTGTCATGCCGTAAAAATGTGCTCTCGGCTGGAATTTGGCAAGCCTAGCCCCTGACGGGGTGGGAACCTCTCCGCTTACAGAGGGAGAGGGAGCTGCGGCCCTGGGAAGAGGTGCAGGGAGAGGTGATGGGGAGCTGCTGCTGAGCCGGCCGAGGCTGGGGAAGGGGATGTAAGGGCAGGGGATGTGCCCGCGATGGGATGTGCCCGCGGATTGAAGGCAGGGGTGCCGCTTTGTCCTGCGGGACACGGCAGGGACAGACGGAGCTGCGGGGCAGGAGAGGGCAGCGGCCCTGGGGCAGTGGGGACAGCAGGAGATTTATCTGGGGACACATTTTGGACCAGAGGAGCTGTGAGGGTGCGAAGGTTTTGTTCTGGGCCCCACCCCAGCGAGGGGCATTGAGGTATTGCTCTGGTGAGCATCTCCCCTGCCGCAGCTTCTCCCCCTTGGGGCAGGTGCCCCTTTCCCCCTTTCCCCGGAGCCCTGAGGCCATCACCCCCAGTTTGCCTAAGCCCAAACTTCAGCCTGGTCCCCGAGCATCCTTCCTCACGCACACGGAAATCGATTTAAGCCATTCAGGTAAATCCCCCCCGGCCTCGCCCCGAAGGGTTCGTGCCACAAGTGCCAGCCTGGTGCGGGCTGCGAGCGTGGGCTGGCAGCGACCCCCGGCCCCTCCCGGCCCCTCCCGGCCCCTCCCGGCCCCCGGCAGCCGCCGCTCCTGCAGAGGGAGCGCAAGGAGCGGCAATGAATGAGCCACGGGCTCCGCGCAGCCATTTCGTCCTCGGGAAGCGTAAGCAGGGGTGTTGCTTCCCAAAGAGAAGAGAAAACTCCGCTCAGACGGGGAACTCCCCCTCGCAAACCAATTGTGATGTCTGTTCCCGCAGTGCCCGGCCAGAGCAGTGCCCTGCCCGGAATTCCCTTCCCCAAAATCACCCAGGACTCACAGGGGAATGAATGAACCTGCCCTCTTCACTGGCAGCTCCCGCAAAAAGCAAGGCAGCGAGTGGAAAGGACACTGCTGCACCTTCCACGGACGGACGAGCAGGGTGGGAGTGGCAGCCCGGGACCCCTCACTATTTCTGCCTTTCCGGGTTGCTCCCTGTCTGCTCGCCCTTCCCATCCATCTCTTGCTCTCTCCAGACGGGCAGAGGGCCGGTGCCTCAAGCAGGAGGCAGAGGATCCACCTTGCTGGGGTGGCTGCTGTGTCCCACCTGTCCCAGCGCCCACGGGAGCCAGGCTTGGCTCTGCTGCTGCCAGCCCCGTGCACAGCCCGTGCCAACGCCCCAGAGCCCGTGTTGTGCCCAGGGTTTGGGGCAGGAGAGCGTTCCCAGCTGCTGCAGCCTCCGAGGTTGCTGTAGCAGTGGGCAGTGGCACTTCCCTGCTCGTCCCATCGCTGGCCCGAGTCTAGCCTTCAGCTCCCATCTCCCAAGTGGCTCTTTCTTCTCAGCTGGAGCTTCCTGTTGGCTCTCATTTTCATTCTTTACCTCTTCAGCAGTGCAGAAAATTGGCACTTAATGTGCCCTGTGAGGCTCTGTGGTAGCAGCTTAATTGACCCTGGTTGCATCACCCTGGCCACAGCTCGGTCAGCGAGCTCAGCCTTGAGCCACGTTCATTTCCCACCCCCTCTTTGTTTTCCTGCCCTTCCAGGGGTGCTGCTGGTGTTTGGTGAGGGTTCCTGCCCAGGGAAATCTGCCTTCCTGCAGCTCTCCATCCTCTTTTCCTCCCTCACCCTTTTGCCTTCCCCAGCTGGTCAGCAGGTTGCTCCAAACCCTGCACATCCCAACATCCCACCTTTGATGAGGTGTGTGGCAGGGCCATGCTGAAACTCTGGGAGCTTCCCCAAGCACTGTAAATCAGTCAGAAACCTGAGCTGCTGGTTGTAGCCCTGCCCTTGACAGTTGTTTTCCAAGAGCTGCTCCCAGGCATCTGGCCATGCATTGGGGGATTTCTGAGTGTGCCAGTCCGAGCCAGAGCAGTGGGGACCAAGTGGCACACTGACCACAAAGCTCATGACAAAACCAGACCTGCAGCAATCACCCAGATGTGATCTCAGCTTAGCTCCAATTCCCTTATTGCATCCTTTGGGGCAGAGATTGCTGCAGGAAGACCTGGAATAATTGTTATTCAGAGCATCGTAAAACTCCACCTGAGGTTGACAATCCAGGCAGGACTGCATTATGGCAGATGTCTAGCAGGGGAATAAGATTTCCCAGGTGAGTGAAGGAAATGCATGTAG